GTCTGTCTGTCTGTCTGTCTGTCTGTCTGTCTGTCTGTCTGTCTGTCTGTCTATCTATCTATCTATCTATCTATCTATCTATCTATCTATCTATCTATCTATATCTTCTATCTATATCTATCTACAGTATCTATCTATAATTGAGCACAAAATTTCCATTGCTAAGCAAGGAAGTTGAGTTTTATCCCATTTCATAACATTTTTGCTATGGTTGTTAAACAAATAACTGCAGTTGTTAAGTGAATCATGTGGTCATTAAATGAATCTGGTTTCCCCCCCCCCATTGACTTTGTTGGAAGCTGGCTGGGAAGGTTACAAATGGTGATCACATGACCCCGGGAAATGAAGTTGTCATAAATACATGCGATGGGGGTGCCGCAACGGTTGTTGTACATGTGAAACTGGTCACAAGTCCCTTTTTCTCAGTACTGTTGTAACTACGGTCATTAAATGGTTTACGTCAAAGACCACCTGTATCATTTACACATATACACAAATGCATGCACACACCATGCTAATGCTTATATGTAGGTATCATTTCATTATATATACCATATATAATGATGTCAACAATACTTCAGCTGCAGTTGCTGGCAAAGGAGTTGTTATTTCTTCATTTAAACTAATTAAAATTGTAATTCTCTCCTTTTCTAGTTTTTTCAAAGCTCTGTTCTTTCTAACATTTTCCTATAGAGATCTATAAGCCCTTCCTTGCTTAGAAGGGGGTGGGGGGTGATGAATTTGTGGCTTATAAAATGTTGCTGAATTATATTGTCAGCAAACTAAGGCCAAGATGTGCTGAGACCACAATTCAATAACACTGGCAGGCTATAACCATAGATCCTCGTCCTGTGAGCAGAAATACAATTGGAATGTAGCAATCATATTGTACTAAACTCCTAGTCGAGATCCTACATGTATTGTCTATGCATACAAACAAAACACCCATATCAAAAAACAATTTTTTTAATTTGCATATTTCATTAAATTGCTCTGGAAGCTTATTACTCTTTTTTGATGGAATAAATTCATTCTGTGCTTTAGGAATGTAGGAAGTTGTCATATTTAGAATCAGCATGTTACAGTGATTTTTAGTTAACACAGAGCCATGTGGCTTTGATCAAATCTGGAGTTAAAACTGTCTCTTGAAGCAGCTTCGGGTTCCTCTCTTCCTCTCTTGTAACAGGCTTCTGAGCATATATGTACATTGTGAATATTTAAAATATTCTGACCCAGTTTGCAAGAATCAGGGCTCTTTGTCAAGGCACATCCCTTCACCTCTTCATCTATGTGAAGAGAAGATTCAAACCACTCCCTTCCATCATGACTGAACTTCAACAAAGAATGATAGCCAAAGCTCTTTATGTTTGTTCAAGCCACCTCATAACGCCCAACAATTACATTCAATCTTACATGTTGTGGAATAGCTTTTGCTAGTGGCATTCATTCCTGTTATTGTCAGTCTGGTTACTCTTCCAGGACATCCTGACATTCAGAATGGCTGCTAACATCAAAATAGCATTGCCCTACTTTATAATAATAATTTTTATTTTGCGGTCACAGACCAAAATACAAGTGCAACAAAAGAAAACACAAGAAAAATATAATCACAAACAATTAACACCAGAAGCCTTGGCTAACGGGAATTACTATGTTCCCCTCTAACAGTTACAGCTCTTAAAAGAAATTTAGAAACCTGAGAATATAGGAGAAGCCATCCCCTACTTTGTATAAGCGATGTGCAGATCTCCCACGCATAAACAGAGACTATTTTAGCCTCCAGCTATCCCCACCAGTTCTGAAAAGATTGGCCAATTTCCTTCTTGGTTATTTGTGCAGCTGGTTTAAACAGGCCATTGGGAAATCTTCAAGGCTACAGAGTTGGGTCTCTGACTCAAGTCTTCTGTGCTAACGACTGACAGAAAGCTTTGTTCCTGCAGCTGATTATGTTTATACGTGGTCCATCAATGAGTGTGGGTTTTTTTGTTTTTGCAGGGGAAGAGCTTTCTTAAAATTCAGCAAAAGTGTGAAAAAAATAGAAGTACAAAACCCCAACACGCTAGGCAGTATTATGGCATGGGGTTTACCATAGGATGTAGTTAGTCTTGTAGTTGTTAAGCTAACGCTGTATTTCTCCAGTGAAAATACACTAATCTTTATGCTATGCCAGGAGTTCCCAACCAGGGGTGCGAGACGATATTCCAGGGGGTGCAAAAAGTTGGCTTTTCAAAATTATAGTGTATATGCATAATTTGTTGCCATTATTTCAAACTTTTGTAAGGGGTGCGAGAATATATTAGAAGCGTTCTAGGTGGGTGGGGTGTAGAAAAGGTTGGGAGCCACTGTGCCATGCTGATGGGTGACAAATCTGGCATTTCTGATACACATCTGTTCTTGTATGAATTTCAGATGTTTTGAACTATTTCTCAACATACAAGTTGCTGCAAAGCACCCACACATAGGAAAAAGCTAGTTATGGAGTCTAGCTGTTCTCTGTATGTTCTTTATTTTCATTTAATAACACTGAATGCAGTTGTAGTTTATTGGCTGAGATTATTATAGGAACATCATAATGACAGGAGAAATCCTCATTATTCCATTATACCATTGTTATAGTTATGTGGTAAACTCCAAGTCTTTGAGGACTTTCTTTTGAAACATACATAGTGCTGAATTGCACTATAGACATTCAGCATACAGGCAGTCCTCGATTTATGACCACTACTGAGCCCCAAATTTCTCTTGCTAAGCGAGACATTAGTTAAGTGAGTTTAGACCCATTGTATAATCCAGGGGTCTGCAAACCCAGGGTCACAGCCCACTTAAGGGTCGTGCCCTGTTCGAAACTGGGAGAGATGGGCAAGCGTGTGAGCAGAGGGCACTTGCATTCGTGTGCAAAGCTCCACTCATGAGAACGGAGCTTCATGTGCTAACCCCCTCCGCTTGAATGGAGCTTCATACACGAGCACACGGGCCCTCCGCTCAAGTGTCCTGCACTCGCGCAGGTGGAGCTTTGCGCATGAGCGCAAGCCCCCTCCATGCATGTGCGATGCTTGCACAAATTGAGCTGCGCATGTGTGCATGTGCCTGCCACCCAAATGCATCCTCCCGCTGGGCCTGACTGCCAAGCTAGAAAGATTGGGGATGACTGGTATAACTTTTCTTGCCACAGTTAAGTGAATCACTGCAGCTGTTGTTAAGTGAATCTGGCTTGCCCCCATTGACTTTGCTTGTCAGAAGGTCCCGGGACACTGTGATCGTCATAAATAGGAACCAGTTGCTGAACCAGTAGCAGCACTGCACAAGCCTGAGCGAGAGACGGCTGGAGCTGCAAGGCTGTCAGGACTCAGTGGAAGCACCAGGATCAGCGCCGCTTTCCAGCTGATTGGCACTTCTTCAGGGCTGTCAGGGCTCAGTGGAAGCACCAGGATCAGCGCCAAGCTCCAGCTGGAAAGCAGCACTGATCCTGGCGCTTCTGCTGAGCCCAGAAGACGCACAGATCAGCTGGAATGTTGCAGCATCTCCAAGGTCTTGTGATTTACATTCAGATGCTTGGCAACTGATTCATATTTATGATGGTCACAATGTCCCAGGGTCATGTGAAGTGACCAAAATCTGCTGCAACCACCCAGTAGACGGGGATAATAAAAACCAAACACCCCCCCACCCCACCCCCGCTGCCAATCCTCAACATAAATGCTCACAACAATGAAAACCTCGGACAGGAGGAAGAACGCCGCCAGGTAGGCAGGCAAGTGTCTTGCTCGGCTGTGGCTTGGGGGGCACTTTTTTCAGTGCCATTGTAACTTTGAACAGTCACTAAGCAAACTGTTGTAAGTCAAGGATTATCTGTACTTTATCACTTTTTTCCTTTTTGGTCAAGTTTTTGACACCTTGCTAGGCGACTGGTGGTACTCGGATGTTACCATATCCTAAAAGTGGTACAATGGGTAAAAAGGTTGAAAAACCCTGCTTTAGAGAACTGAAGGTGCTGCTACACAATCATATCCAGAGTGGCTTTTCCAAGAGATCAATGAACTCCAACACAAATACAATAGCTATATTCCCTTATCTTTGGTCTTCGAAGGGCTGGAAAAATCTGTGCTTTATCAACTTTGCAGAATTGTAACTGCCAGGAAATGGAAAACCTCAGAATGTCTTTCAGATTTTGCCAATTATTGGATCTGAATTGTTTTGTATCTCTTTGCAGAGCTATTGTAGTTACTTGCAGTTCTGCGGCCCACTTCTAGCATAACTTTTAGTCTGGTGGTGAGCAATGTGCCACCTTGGACTGATTTCAAAACGCTATGCAAACCATCAGTTTAGACCTCTGGCAGACGCAACTTCCCTTGCCTATCAATCGACTGAATAGAAATTAAAACAAGTAGCAGCACTGAGAAAATGCACGATTGAAAGGAAAAAGGCCACAGAAAAAGAAAACGGGACTAGCCATTTTCTGGGTCTAGCAGAGGATTGGAAAGACGATCCATTTATGAATGGATTTTGCAGAGTAGCCGAAACGACATGACTTAAGAAACTCAGCCATCTTTACTTGGGCATCAAAGAAATCATCGGTACGCCCTGCCCGCAAATAACTGCGATCGGCAATTAGAGCCGACCCCAATTTTTGATACTTAAGGGCGGGGCATCATGCAGCAAAAGATCTGGGATCAGGCCAACTCTGCTTCTTTTCCCTGTCAATCACCGCCTCCGCGAGGGGGAAGTGGGACCGCCGGTTCCCAAGAGTTAATGTTCCCTGAGAGCCAAACGGGTAAACAACACTGGCGGGGACAGCACGAGAACAACAGAGCACGGGGTAAAGATTGGAACACGAAGTCCTCAGCGCACCTAAAGTTTAACCAGAGCCGAGGCGGGATTCAAAGCCTTCGTCCAATCGAGAACGGCTACGCTACGCCTCCCGACCAATCCCACCCGCTTTGCCAGCCACTTCAGCCAATCCGCAGAAAGCAAGCAGACGCTACAAGCGGAGCGGGCGGCGCTTCTTTGTTTAGATCCCGCGTAGCCTGAGTCCCCAACCAAATGACTAGGTGTAGGATCGGAACGGGCATGCGCTGGGGAAAATCCCGCTGCTTTCTAGAGACTGGATCCTTATCGCGGCTCGATCGGGTAGGCCAATCGATTCGAGCAACTGCTGATCACCGCGGCGGCCCAGGCGCTCTTCTCCTCCGCGGCCGCTAAAGCGGCTCCCGTTGACTTCAGCGAAGCGGGGAGGGGAAGAGAGGAGAGGGGGGGGGGCGTGCCGAAGATCGGTTCCGGCAGCCAATCGGGGCGTTCCATTCCTTTTTGACGTCACAATCTCTAGAACCTGCAGCGGCGACAACAATAACAATACCAGGCGGGGATCGTTCCCCGGAGTCGAGCGGTCGGGGCGGGGGGCCTGACCGGGGCGAGCCGTGAAAACAGCGCGTCCGGGGGTAGCGCTTGCTACTGTCAGCGGAGTCGGAGAGGAGCAACCCAGCAAGCAACTCAGGAGGGAGCCCGAAATAGAAGCGCCTCTTTCCTGGCAGCGATGGCCTCGAGCGAGCCCTCGGGGCTGCAAGAAGAGAATCTACAGGGTAAGAAGAGAACCTTCCCTCCTTTAAAACAAAGCAAACTGTAAAAATATATATATATAGAAAAGAAAACTTGGACTTTTAAAAATAATGGGCCTCTAAAAGAAGGGCCTCTTAAGTTAAGACTTTCCTGGGCTGATCAGAAATAGACTTTCTAGATCACCTTGTTTTGAAGCCCGCCCCCCCCTCCCGCCCTGTGATTAATACAGGTAGTCGTCGACTTACAACAGTTCATTTAGTGATGGTTCAAAGTTACAACGGTGCTGACAAAAGTGACTTAATGACCGTTTTTCACACTTAACGACCTTTGAGGCATCCCCAAATTCAGAGGCGTGGTAACTGGTTCATACTTATGACCGTTGCTGGGTTCCAAAGTCATGAGATCACGTTTTGACGACCAAAGTCAATGGGAAGCCAGTTTCATTTAACAATTGGGTTACTGACTTAATAACTACAGTGATTCATTTAACAACTGGGGCAAGGAAGGTCGTAAAATGGGGCAAAACTCACTTAAATGTCTCACTTGGCAAGAGAAATTTTGGGCTCGATTGTGCTTGTAAGTCAAGGGCTGCTTGTATTAATATTCCCTCTAGTAATTAGAATTCCCTTAGAATGTTTCTTGGGGGCAGGAGAAACAAAGGATGGGGAAATACCAAATGGCCTGGGGTTACCATTATTCAGGGTTTCCTCTGTTTCTTGGGGCTATGAAACTCTAGATTTTTCTCTATTTCGGACTTTTTCTTGCATTGAGTTGGTTTTTACCTTGGCAAGCTCAGAATCAGCAAGGGAGGATGCCTTTAAAATAGCCTGTGTTTATGGGAAAGGGAAAAGAGGCAGATCTATGGTTGTAACTTAGTGGCTGTGTTCTCTGGGCTGTGCTATAGTACCTTTGCCTATGTGATTCAATCATTTACTAATAGCTTTTATGGTTGTAAATAATTGGCCTTGGAACTTATTGACACATTGTGCTGGTTTAGAGCTGACATCATGGGATTTATAGTCCCATGTAGAAAAACTTGGAAGTAGATTGCAACATAACATAGTTGTGTGAGGGCGTGTTTCACAAAGTTTAGGCTGTTTATTTTTCCGGTTGGTCTAGGGAAGAATTTTTTGGGGGGTAACATTCTGAAGTAATTAAATGGAATATGTTGGGGTGGATGCAATTTATATCTTAAGATCTGATAACAAAGATGTCCATATTGTCTATTTCCTGTCAACAGATTGCCCCTTCTCCTTTCTTTCTGCCCGTTTGACTTCCTGTTTTCGCCTTCTGTTCCTCAGCATCCTGAGAATTATAATCCATAAAAGTAGGCCAATGAACAGAATGATAAAATACACAGTTGGGACAGAAAGCTGTCCATTAAAAAAATAAAGGAAGACAGACGTTTGTATATAGGAATGTTTTCTGGTAATTCGGTTCTCTTATGCCATTTCATTATAGTTCCATAAAGCCTATTTTCCAGCACAATGTCACTCCACTAACTTTAAAGTTAGCTTTTTCTCATTTAAATCATGTGGATTCCAGTTGGTTATGTTTCCAGCAATTAAAGACTGCCCTGTTTCCTACAATCTTTTCTGCTATAGAGGTATAGCCAATTACTGCCCACAGTGATAATACCAATATGTTATTGTTACAAGTTTTTATCTGTGGACTGCATCATGTTTTCTTTTAAAATGCATAAACATTTTAAGTAAACTTGAAAAGATTAAGAACTAGAACGGTTGCATCTTGGAAAATAAGCTTGCTGTACATTAAAATGAGAACCTGTTTATTCTGCAGGGTTATATAGTTTGGTCTTCTGATTAAGGGACCAGGAGATTCTAAGTTCTAATCCCACATGAAAGCCAGCTGAGTGACCTTGGACCAGACAGTGACTCTCAACCCAACTCACCTCACAGGGTTTTTGTTGTGGGGAAAATAGAGGGAAAGAGCATTGGATATGTTCACCCCCTTTGAGTTATTTATAAAAGTAATCAAGCAGGTTAAAAAACCTTTTAGCAAAGCCTTTTATACCATATAGCCATTAGATTGCTTGTATAGTAAATATAGAAGCACAGCTTTTGTCCTGAGCAATACAGCAGGTCACAAGATAGAGACAAAATGCTTATGCGCTGCTGGCGGGCTGGGGGGGGGAGAGAAACACCATTGCCATTGCAACAGGGTTTTATTATTAACAGGCAGTAAGCTGGGTATTCTTTGAACCTTCTCAAAATACAAGCAAAGGAGACCGTGAAGTCAGATGTGAAGTAGAATGTCAACAAATGTTAAGTGCTGGATTTCCTAATAAATCTTTGTGGTTTTTGTTCTTTCTAAATTTTTGCCAAGCAGGTTCCTGGGTAGAACTGCACTTTAGCAGCAATGGGAACGGTAACAGTGGCCAGCCAGCCGGCCAGGAACAAGTTCCTGCTTCAGTTTCTATTTATAATGGTGACATGGAGAAAATTCTTCTAGATGCCCAGCATGAGTCTGGAAGAAGTAGCTCGCGAGAGAGCTCACACTGTGACAGGTATTCTGACATTAAGGCAGCACAGGCTGTTTCCGATGCATTTCTTCTTTATTTCAGCTGAACGTGCAGATAGTCCTGGACTAACAACCACAATTGAGCTATGATGCAGTTGCCCTGCATCTGAATTTTAGTCCTGTGACTGTGGGGATGTCATGAATGTGAAAAACGATCATAAGTCACTTTTTTCAGTGCCCTTGTAACTTTGAACGGTCACTAAATGAACTATTGTAAGTTGAGGACTACTTGTACCTACAAAACAGCCTTCTGGCTGACTTTCAGATATTTCAATTCTGTTTTTACCAGCCATAGGCAATGCTTCTCCATGGGTGTTATCAAGGATAATGGGAGTTGTAGTCTAAAAAAATGGAAAGGTACCAGGCTGGGGAAGGCGAATGTTATGCTTGGCCTCTTTAGATTCTTGAAAGCAGTGGAGCCTAATTTAAGCAAGGCTAACCTAAATTTTGTTTTGTCTTGTCTGGGTGAAAGTGTTCTAAATAGTTATATTGCAAGTCTCATCAGGATGATGCAATTGTCCCCTGGCCTTGCATCTTCTGCACTTTCTCCTGATTGGAGACAAGGTCATCTTGCCCTCATGGTGTGATCCACTTTTTTTCCAGTTCAGCTTTTTATTTAAACAAAACTGGAATCATCTATTAAATGAGACATTCCAAAGCTAACAAGAGGCATGGCTTGGGAGAACAAAGTGATCTTTCATCATGAAACTAAGCAAATGTTAGATTAGGGCTGTATGCCATTTTGGGACCAGCTCCAGACCTGATTAACTTGGAGATGTTGTTGGTTTTTGAGAAAAACTCGGGAAAGCTGCTTTGGGGGAAACTTGTGCTTTGACTTTTTGTACCTCGCAGGCCTTGTGAGTGGCTGTCTTTCCATTCATAGGAATTTTAGTGTTGCTCCTTTTCCTGAGGTCCTACCAGTTTTTACTCACATCTGTTCCCCCCTTAGAGAGGTTCAGCCTCATGTTCCTAGAACGTCTGTCTTCCTGTACAAATTGGCTAGAACTTATCTGCCTTCTCCCCAGTCCAGCCCCCAGCAACATGCAACTATGGCCATAATTATTGGGGGAAATGTCAAGCTGCAAAACTGTCCTTATGCTTCCATTTTGCCTTCACAACTGCTAGGGAATGTTAAGTATAACAGAAGAAGGATGATAAAGTGGTTAAGAAGCCTTTAGAGGTTTCCTGTACTTTTCTTTACAATCCATTTCCCTTGATAGAGCTCTCCATCATAGCAACTTTTTAAATTTATTTGGCAGATACACGGAAATACATGTAGTTGGAAATGCCAACAGGATGGGTGTCCTTGCAATTTTATTTCTGTTTTGTATGGAGAATGCTAGGTTTTTTTTGTTACAGGCAGTTCTCGTTTAGCGACTACCTTGTACAAATACCATTCAGTAATGACGGTGATGAAACTTTGTAGCCAATCCTCACATTTATGACCTTTGCAGCTCCACAAAAACAAAAGAAAATAGAAGTAAGATCATAAACATAGTCATGTTAGTGGCTGGTTTTCACTTAACGATTGAATTGCTGGTACCAATTTTGGTTGCTGAATGAGACTTACCTGTACTCCACCATCAGGAATGGGAGTAGTGGGACCATAGCTGGGAGAATGGATATTGATGGATTATAATTCTTTATAATCTGTCATTGGTCACCAGAGGGAAAGAGATTGAGGCTGATTGGCATAAAACATTTTCGTTCTAAGGTTCAGTAGAAGATGATTGCAATCCATTGTATGTTGCTTGGTGAATGATTGAAAGGTTAGAGCAGGTATGTCAAATTCGCGATGTCACGTAATGTTGCGCGACGTATCACAACTTTTTCCCATTGCCGGCAATGGGGTGGGCGTGGTTTTGGCATGACGCATCCGGCCCACGGACTGGCAGTTTGACATGCCTGGGTTAGAGAGACTTGAGTTATGGCAGGATCCTCATTCAGGGAGTAAGGTGAAAGATGGGAAGTAGCATTATACCATTGGCTAAAGGTGTAGTCTTTGAAATATTTATCCATTGACTTTGTCCTGAAACCTAGTCAGCTACATTTCCCTAGGCCACAGGTCGGCAACCTGCGGCTCCGGAGCCGCATGCGGCTCTTTGAGCCTTCCCCGGTGGCTCCCAGCCTCCTCTGCCTTTGCAGAGAGAGACAGAGACAGAGAGAGGCAATTGCGCTTCCCTGCTTCTCTCTCTCTCTCTCTCTCTCTCTGTGTGTGTGTGTATTTGTGTGTGTGTGTAAAAGATTGCACTCACAGTGTTCTCCGAGGAGCTGAAAAGCTTTCTGGACGGAGCTCCTCCCTTTGCTGCGTCTCTGCAGGAAGCAGGAAGGGCAGGAGAGAGCTAGCTAGCCCAGCTAGGCTGACTCAGGAATTCTGGGAGTTGAAGTCCATGAGTCATAAAAGAGACGAGGTTGCCTACCCCGGAGGTTGTTGGACAACAGCTTGAAGCTTGCCAGGTGAGTAGCAGATAGGAGAGAGAGAGAGAAAGAGAGGGAGGGAGAGAGAGAGAGAGAGAGAGAGAGAGAGGAAAGAGAGAGAGAGAAAGAAAGAGAGTGGGGGAAGAGGAGTGGCAGGCAGACCAAGGGCAGATAGAGAGGGAGGGAGAGAGAGACAGACAGAGAGAGAGAGAGAGACCCTTTTGACATCTAAAATGAAGATAACAGTGCATATATCCTTTTTTTACCTGTATGTGTATTTGTATGTATGTGTATATGTGTGTGTGTGTGTATACATACATACATACACACACACACATATATACACACACACAAACACACACACACCTATAATAAAGGTAAAAAAGGATATATGCAGTGTTATCTTCATTTTAGATATCAAAAGGATTTTTGTGGCTCCCGGTGTTTTGTTTTTGGTGGGAAATTGGTCCAAGTGGCTCTTTGAGTGTTTTGGGTTGCCTACCCCTGCCCTAGGCCAATGTTTTGGAATCTCAGCAACTTTAAGATGTGTGAACTTTAAACATGGTGGCTGAGGAATTCTGGAATTTGAAGCCACGCATCTTAAAGTTGCTGAGGTTTAGAAACACTGCTCCAGGCTATTGGATTTTTTTTTTTAATCCCAGTTGATGTGGTAAGAATACAGGTACTGCGTTTCTTAATCATATATTGCATTTCTTCCTTTCTCTGGAGTATCTAAATCCTGAAGACAGGGCCTGTCATTCATGAGTTATTTAGGGTTCTTTTTTGGTTACATAAAAATGTTTTAAATTAATTAACAGACAGAGGAAGCACAGATAAACAACTCTCTGCATTCCAAAACTTGTGAGTAAAAGCATAGCTTATCACATAATCACTACATAGTGGTGATGTACCTGATCAGTTATCTGTCATTGGACATGATACTTATCCATGGTTAATTGAATTATGGTTTACTTAAGTTCATTGAGTGCAGCGGGATTGCTCAACACCTGGAATCATAAAATAACCACAGGAATTGAATTTCCACATTGCATTAGGCTTAAAGATGATTAGCTGGTTTGTGGTTCAGTGTGTTTTGCAAACACAGCCATGAAAAGATTGAGATATGCAGGATTAGAGAATTGGACCAGATTAAACTTAACAGACGTGCCTCTTTATATATATACATGTTACATGTAAATTAAAATGCATTTCAAATCAAAACAGGATTATTTTGTAATGGGGCTGATAATTGTGAAGGGGAAGTTTAAACTTTTTCCATGTAGTTATTAGTGCCAATGACATTAGGAACTATGAGGGATTCCAGGAACAATTAAATAATTATTTTTTTTGCATTTTGGATGACTTTGTTTGTGAAGTAAATAAACAAGTACTAAACAGCTTGTGGCATTTGCTCACTCAGACTCCGTTAACATAGGTTGGATCCACTAAAAATTTTGGGAAGGAATTACTGCTTTTCCACAAAAGCAGAATTGCTATCCATTTACCTTGGGAAGATGTCCCTTTTTAAAAAACTTCTGTCCTTTTTTACCAAGGTGCTCCAGAATGCATAACATACGTTTTTCCTATTTCTTATCACAATAAAGAGGCAGGCTAGGCTGCAAGATCATAAGTAGCTTTGTGAACTTTATTGGGATTTGAAGTTAGCTTTCCATGGTCCTGATAAAACACAAAATCAGTAAGTCTTGTTCTTAGTTGGTTATTCTCACTTTTTTTCCTCCAAAGCCCACCACGTTCCCAGACACCTCAGGATGTTCACAGAACTTCAGAAGTGGAGAGTCGTGCCAGTGGAGAAAAGAATAGTTCTCAGGTAAAAGAATAGTTCATAAAGACACCCAAAGACTGAATTTTTATGTGCGTGTGTATGGTGTTTTTCTTTAAGAGAATAAAATCCAATCTTCTCAGGAGATTGTATTTTCTGCAGAGCCTCATTTATAGCTGGGAAATGTTCTTTGTAGTTTTTTAGGAGACCCATTTCAGTTTTGGCACACAGTTTGGAAAATCATTGCATGAATGGCACAGTCATATTGGAAACTATCTAAACACTAATGCTACTTGAAGGAAAATGCAGCTGCTGGGGCTTTAATTGTTCCAAGCATGTAACTCCGGCTCAGTAAAATTTGTTTTTGATACTCTTGAGCTTCTCTGCAATATTTCTGTTGCTATCAGAGATCCAGTTATCTAGCATGTAGGAAACGAACCTTTCATGCTGAATTTTTTTTTTCTATTTGTGGCTTCTCAGTTGTGATTAGTTTATCTTATTCAAACACCAGGGAATCTCTCTTGTCAAGATCCAGCCTCATCCAACCTCAGACTTGGCTGAGTTAGCTTGGCTTGATTTGGATATTATAGACCAGCAGAGTGTTGTTTGATTGTGAAACCTGGCTTCCAAATTCCTGATGAGTTAACATCAGATAGAAAATGTGAATTCATTGTTGGATGAGAGACAGTGCAAAAGGATAGTACAGACAGCACCCAGTCCCTCTCTGTGTGAAATGAGCAGAGTAGATAGATGATAGATGGAAGGATGGATGGTTGGACAGAGATAGATGGATGGATAGACGGATGGATAGATGGACAGACGGATAGACAGACGGATGGATAGATAGATGGATAGATGGTTGGATAGGCACTCTATTATGTATTTGTGGCTTCTCAAGTAGCATCTCTTCTGAGACTTTGTGCCTCTTTAATATCTCCTTCACTCAACCTGTGTACTTGGACTTGTATAACTACTATGAAACTCCAGGAAAAGCCACAACACCTTTAAGGAGCAAACAAATGGTATAGCGAGGTTGCTTACCCTGGATCCAAAGTCCCCTTGTCCACTTCCATACCTCTATTCTGAGAATGGACCCAGGTTACTTGATTGTACCTATCTTTCTTTTAGTCTGAAGAAGATTTTCTGGAAAGAAGGAAAGAAGTTGAACGGCTTCTGAAGAAAAATTCAGATTGGATGTGGGACTGGTCGAGTAGGCCTGAGAATATCCCCCCCAAGTTAGTGATCTTGATAATGAATAATGCCAATTTGTTTATTTCCATTATTATAAAGATATAAATGTGATCACAAACAATTATGGATGAAATGTTTTTGTCTTCTCATAAACCAGGGAATTTCTCTTTAAACACCCTAAGCGCACAGCTACACTCAGCATGAGAAACACGAGTGTGATGAAGAAGGGGGGCATATTTTCGGCAGAATTCTTGAAGATTTTCTTACCCTCTCTGCTGCTCTCCCATCTGCTTGCCATTGGATTAGGGTAAGGATTCATTTAGTTCATCTACACTGACAGTCAGAAATCTAATGGGCTGCATCAGCAAGGTGTCCTTACCATAATTAGGTCTTAATATATTTTTTCCTTATTTATGTGAACTTAATAAAATATTTTTTTAAAAAAAAACAAGGTGTCCTTGACTCCTAATAATACTATCGGAGAGAGGGAGAAACCGCTGTTCACTAATACAACACATTCCTTAGATGCAAAATGTTCACTCCCTGATCACTCCAGGTCGGATTGAAAAAACTACTGCCCAGAATCCTGGAAAGCTTGAGGCTGGGTTCACATATGTTAAGATGTAATTTGGGAGCTCAGTCACTAACATTTCATAATTTACAGAGCGCACTGAAAGAGAGGAATCCAGTTTAGGCTATTGGTGGTGGTCCAGATGTTGCTGAAATGCAACTTCAAGCATCCACGGGAAGCCAAGTTAATGATGAAGGATGGTGGGAATCATCCTCAATATCTGAACGGCATCAGGTGCCTGCTTCTGAGAAGACTACATATTGGTCTTATAATTTTGTAGCATATGGACTTCTAGTTTATTTTTATTTTTTTTATAAAAACACTCTGCTTTTATAAATGTTAATGTTCAGAAAATATTTAGCTGGCAGGTTATCTGTACCCTAGTTTGCCTATGTAGCCCATATGTACACATAGTCCTAAAAACCTAACTAGATTATGGCTTCAAGTGTGCTGAGAATCCACTCGGAGTCTTCCTAGTGACTCCTCTCAGATATCAATCACATCATTTGCTGCATTGTACAACCTCACAAGTATGCCTGCTGCTGTTTATAAGACCAATCATTGGGATTTTTTCCCCCTCAAACTGAGTCATGTATACCTTTGGGATGAGCTCTGTTGTACTTCTGAATAATCACTAAGTGATTGATCATATATCACCTGAACTGCCATGATTTTTTGTATTATGCTTCTAGTATATGTGAAGAAGGATTTTGAAAAATTACATTTGAAAATAAAATCTAGAATCTGGGGATGCTGCCTGAACAATTCTGAGAGTTGAAGTCCACACATCTTAAAGCTACCAAAGTTGGAAAACACCATTCTAGTCCATCTTTGAGTGATTTGTGTCTATAACTGTACCAATCAGGCTGAGAAAAGAGGTGAGATTGAAACTGCAACTCCAGTTCAACTTCAGCAGAATACTTACTGGTTTTTTTTATGTTTCAGGATTTATATTGGAAAACGGTTGACAATCACGGCTTCCAGCAGCTCCTTGTAAAAAAAAAGAAATGAATTCGTCTCTTTTGCAAATCATGACAAAATTCATCCAGACATATAAAGTGGTGAACAGAAGAAACTTCCAAATGTATAATCATAATATGGCGATGTATGTTGTATTGTGTAAAGGGCTCTTGCAAAAGGAAAGGAAGAAAACCCAACTACCCAACTGCTTCTATATGTAAATTCCTATTCGCACGGTTTAATATAGTGTAGCTTAGATCAGGAGTGGGGAACCAGAACTACAACTTCCAGCAAGCTCCAACTTTGGGCCAGTAACAAAGGATATTGGGAGATGTTGTTTAGCATGTGCAATGGCCCACATTTCATTATCCTTGCTTGAAGATTTTTCTTTGTTGCTATTATTGCAAGAACGAACACTGTAGCAGAAAAAAAAAAAATCACTGTGAACACCGGGGAGGGAATGAATATACAATTTGAAAAGACTCGTAATGATTAGTTGTGAAAAAAGACACAACACAACTGTAATTTCAAAAAAAGAAAGTCACGGTCAACAAAAGTCAAATGGCTTTACATTTATTAAGAGTATGGTTTTACTACTTGAGATGAAATGAATTAGTGACATGATTTGAAATGTAAACATAAATCAGTGTAGACTGTTTTGGTATGTGTAAGTCTTAATAGGGAATCTTTTCTTTATGTTTCCAATGAAAGTTTGTATGCAGCTGTTGGGACAATGATTTAGTAATAAATAATCTGATTTTTCTCAAAGTGAGCCAAAATTTGTGTGGTCAGAAAACTTTTAAGAAGGAAAGCCCCGAGGAATTTCTTCCAAGAAGTTCATTGTGGGAAAATAACATTAGCCAGTCCCTTTTCCTCTCTTGGCTGATAAACAGAAATCTCTCATCTCTGATTTGCAAGGCATTGCTTTGCATCACCAATGAGTCATAGTGGGGTAGCTGGATCTGCCTTTTTAATCACAAATACTGCAGCTGTGAACCACTGGTCTGGTCTATGTGAATACAGAGGAATTTACTCATGGTGAATGATGGCAGTTACCGAAGAAATATCCATTTGTCAGGTGCTGCTTTGCTGTCTACCTTTTCCATGTTGGTTTCCTTCTTTCTGCTGCAGATGCACAAGGAGCTAGAAATAGAAACTATGGCTTTTCCTCTCCTGCATATTGCTGTTTTTATTCTAGATATGCAAATAGGCCAGATCATTGCTATGTAGAATGGAAACACAATGAGTATAATGACAAGGCACAGTTGTGATGTTATCCACACATTCTTTCCACGCTGACCCACAGTATTTGGCAGAAGTTAAGGAAGGTTTGTTCCTTATCGGAAAAATGTCATGATTTCCATCATCTATTCTTAAGGAGGGTTTGCAGAATATGAGTGGTGGCGTGGGCCATCCGGGCTTCCTCACTCCTTGCAGGCTACAAAGGTTGGGGACTAAATATACAGGGCTGATGCTAGATTCTCAACATGTTTCAATAACCCCTAAAAGAAAATGATATTTTAAGAGAGGATATCCTTATGCTGAAAGCTACGAGCACAGGCCACAATTAAACTGCAAGCTCAGCACTGAGCTGACATTGTTTTAAGGCAGGGGTGTCAAACTGCCGGCCCGCGGGCCAAATGCGTCATGCCGAAATTGCAGCCACCCCATTAAGTTGCGATACGTCGCAACACATCATGTGATGTTGCGAGTTTGACACCCGTTTTAAGACCTCTCATCTATTTTAGCTGCCTGGCATCTAATCTTAGTAAGACTTGAGATTTACTTGTAAGTAAACAAAAACAATGCATTGTAGCCTGTTATTTTTGTATAAAGGTCTTATTGTTCATCAGTTACAATAAAGGATGAGAATTTGTTTAGGATTTAACATGATGTATAAACCAAACAGTACAACTTGTTCAATAAAGTGTCATGTAAAAAAAAAATGCCTTGGCATTATATGTGAAGGCAGCCTCTGGGTTACAGCATTGCAAAAAGGCTGGATTGATTATGTATTTCTATAGCTATGCTCTCCAGAGGGCTTAATTTAAACCTTCCTGTAGCAAAGTGTGGGAAGGGGTAGAATATCAGTTAAAAAATCAAGATGCAGCTGTACCCATGAAAATAAAGTCCCAACCCTTTTACATGCACTGGGTTAGGAAAGTGGGATTTCAATCATGCAATGTCAGCTTCTGTATTTATTTATTTTTTTTTGAGTCCTTGAATATTCTGCTAAAGGACCTTCTAATTAAAGTTTGTTTTGCTCCTCTGGGGGGGGGGGAAGGGGCACAGGGTGCCCGGAAGGGGCATGATTTCATGAAAGGTTCAAATATTTCATGGAATCCTGCTAAGACTATCTACTTACAGTACTAGAAATGTAATTGGATACATTTATTTCATATAACCGGACCTGAACTACTGTGGTTTGGGAAGAGTAACTTAGGATCACCTGGTATCTACCTATGTTGCATTTTTATACTATCAGTGTAGAAAAATTTTCTTACACTAATTTTGATTTTATTTGGCACGTGACTTATTTTATGCTGGAGTTAGAACTGGAATTAATAATTGATACTGTGCCCCTCAGATCATCCTATTGCAATATTTCTCAACTTTGGCAAATGTGTTTACTATAATTTCCAAAATGCCCCAGCCAGCATCCGTATGGCTGGGTGGAGAATTCTGAGAAATGAAGTCCACGTATCTTTCACAAGCATGCAGCATTTGGAGTAATGCTATTTGATCAGCTGAGTTGGCTTTATTTCACTGTTAATATAGTTGCTATAATTTATACAGGTGGAGGCACCACAGGTTTTGTAAGGTTTGTCTTGAACAGATTTATTTACTTCAATGGAAAAGACACATAGGCTCAAATAGATAGCAGCTGTGTAGATGTGTTGACCTAATGGGTTCAGAGACCAGTTGGGGTTTTTTTTTTTTTTTCAGACATAGAGATCATTATCTTGGTCATTGCAAATTAAACATACTGTCATCTGAAGAGGGAAACTTGGTTAATTTTCATTTACTGGAAGCTATCTGGGGATTTGTCTTGATCTAGCAAGCTAGCCAATATTGAAGTATTCAAAACTTGCTTGTTTTTCAATTAGCTACTGTGTGATCACATTTATACTGCCGATTTCACTTTTTTAAAGATGAGTCAAACTGTGTACAATACTTGTATGACAATGTCACTACTGGCTATCGTCAGATAAATGGTGAGCATATAAAATGGTTATTTTCCAGCTTTTTATCAAATCAGTAAGCTGTGAAATAGTGTGTCAAATGTCCATATTTTTGCTGCTACTGTGCTAAAGCAATAAAGGGAGTGAGTAAACTTGTATGCTGCTTTTTAATTCCATAGTCCGGTAGTGTATGATAAACCCAAATAAATATTATTCTGGGGTTATTTTCAAATGCCCTCTTTGGAAATTGAAGTGAGATGTGCTCCCTTAGAAAATAAAGGGCTGAAGCATAAGCAAACAAATATATCCAATTAGAATTTTTAGAGTAGTTTAGTGAACTCACGATTGCCTGACAAGAGCCTGCCCAGTGTTAAAATAGTCAACAGTTAGCTGCAGCCAGTAATAAAACCCTCTAAATCATGGGTGTCAAACTTGCGACATCACGTGACATGACGTATCACGACTTTTTCCCATTGCCAGCAATAGGGTGGGCATGGTTTTGGCGTGACAGATCTGGCCCGCAGGCTGGCAGTTTGACACCCCTGCTTTAAAGAAACAAGATACTTATTGCATCTCTCACCAGATGCCTTTTACCGTATTTTTTTCTAGTAAGCCGAGTACACATCTGAAGTCCCGATTTTTCACTCTTAACATCTATAGCCCTGTACAGTTTTATTTGTATTTATTTATTAAATATATACATTACTTATCTCATTGAAAAGGCGATTCTGAAGTTAATGGTAACAGTATGGTATTTTGCTTTATAGATCAAATTCCTTATTTAATTTCTGGGAACATAAATTGAAACTTAGGACGAGGTGAAGCAATTACGAAGCAGGGCTCTCCATAGGCTATGAATACTCATGAGCACAAATTGTGCCATAAATAATGAAGAGCCAGATAGTTAAAATTAATCTAATCAGACATGGAAAAGTCAGCAATACCTGCTCAGTTTTATGCACAATGTGAAAAAAGACCTTTCTTTAAGAAAATGGGGATGGTTGTAATACAATAATAAATGCTTAATTTTCATCCACTGAACTTCTTAAATACTGGTATCTATAGAAGAAATTGATGGAGCCATTTAGATTGAAAAATATTAACATCTCTGAATTTCTGATTTGCTAATTTATAATTAACACAAGAAACAAACAATGTCAACCTTGTAAATGAATGATCTTTCGTAGGATGGAATACATTTCAGATGCATAATCAGTTAAACATGTAAACATGTTAAAAGTAAGATTTAAAATCAAAAGTACAAGAGGAAAAAGTAGACCCTTTGTATTTCTTCCATGCAAAATACAAATGAGAACCAGATCTAGTAAGAATCAAATTAACTTATTTTTGACTGCTACCTGCTATCAACTAGCACAATATACTGCACAATGAATATTAAATATATATATTTCAAAGGCATTTAATGCAAATTTAGAAACAAAAAAAACATTGAAAAAGTTTAAAAGTACACAGTATAAATTCAGGTAAACATTTAAAATTTATTAAACTTTTTGATCAAAATAATAGAACAATTATATACAAACCCATTGTATTTGTTTTGCAGGAAGGCAGGGAGGGAACAAAGTCAATCTAATGGTTAAATGACCTATTGGGTTCCACATTTCAAGATTTGCAAATAGTGTCACAACTGATATACAATATACGATTTTTATTTTTAGATCCACCAAATTGGTGTTAGATTCTGAGGACGAGTGGCACCCCATGAACATTGACAGGATAGGATCAGAGACACATTCCTCTTGCATACTCATACTTTTAATAATCATATTAAACCTTCATTTAATTTAGAGCATGAACAAATCACCCTATCTTTTCTTCAGGAAGCTTAAAGGGCCTGAATTTTAAGGGGGGATTCCATAGGCACTTTCAGCAGTAACTATACAGAAAGTGGAAGATACTTTATCAAAATTGTGCCCATTGCTGTTTCTGTTTTAGGTTTACTCCCAGAGATGTTTACAGTGAAATACCAGGAGTTATTCCTACTTCTAAGAAAAAAATATCATAAAAGTGATGTATTTTTCTTTGCCCCCATTCCTAGTGGAAACTTAGCATTCTATAATCACATTTCCACATCAGCCTTAAGACAACCAGGTTCCCTGGTGTCACAAGCCCAGATTAAGAGTTGAAATATATCTAAATGTGCTCCTGTTTGGCATAATTAATTTTAATAACATACAAGGTTGAGCTTCAGGGGCAATATGCTTGCATCTGCTTATGCCTAGTTTAGTATTTAAAAAATATTTTCTTGAAAACTAAGGATAAAAAAATGTAATGCACATTAATGTATGCACATTAACATTAATTATAAATCATATTTACTATTAACCAAAACAATGATTATTGAAGGTTCTGATGTACATGGCCCATTGTGTTTAAGGCTGCATGTAAGTAAACGGGCTGTTTTTCACATCACCTCTTTTGTGCATACCGTATATTTTCTTTTAAACATAGAAAAACAATACAAACTAGGGTAAAGACAACTGGATACAAATTTCAATTTAGAGTTTGAAGCAGTAGGACAACATCCAACACTGCTCATTTTTTATAATAAATATTTTTTGGGGACAAACTATTTTCAAATCTTTCCATCAGGTATCTTGCACAATCTCAATACATGCAATAAAAAAGACTGAATACATACTTTCAGATTTAAAAACACTTTTTTATAGTTTGTTATTTTTATTAAGTGGTTTACACCAGAAGGTGTGGTTATAGATACAGTTGGTGAGTAAATATACATGAAAAACCTGTCTACACACTCAACTCTAGACTTGCCTATATGCTCAAAGGTAGAAACACCTAAAGCTTAGATGAAGGCCAGAGAAAGAATGTTTACAGGCATAAAGCACAAATATATGTTCTGAAAGGCCCAAATATTACAGCAGATAAAGAGCATGTGAGATAAAAATTACATTTTTATGACAATTTGTTTCTTGGGTGTTAAGATTTTTGGTCTATCAACTGGAAAGGAAGGCTCAGACTTAAATAAATACATTTTTTTAATATTGACTTTTATTAAGTATTGTCCATCAATTCTGCTTCCAGTGGGCTTTCCTTGTTTACAAAAATCAATTCCATGTTCCCCCCTCACTGAAGGCAGAAATACACCACGAACTCAAGTCCAGGCCAGTTTCTCTCCTTTGCTTATAAAGGGAAATAAGTGCATCAATGTTCTTTACTGGAAGGACAAGGCCATCTCTGACAGATAAACAACAGAGCTTAACTATTCAAGACGACAACTCTGTCCTCAAATAAGCCGTCTTTAATTAATTTTGTCTTGGAATATATACAAGTTATTGGTTGCAGCTACAGCAATGATATTCTCCACAGGGTGCCACGCTGTATGGAGGATCTTCTTATTGAAGTCTAGACTGTCAACACTTATTTCATCTTTCTTTCTTTTGCCACCTGTACACACTTTCCGGGGTTTTAAGATGGCTCGAGGTTTGCTACTTTCTCTGGATGCCTCTAATGTAATATCTCGCCGTGTGTTCCGATCAAACATCCTAAAGAAGTTGTTATAGGAGCCAGTCATAATGGCACTGTATGAAAGAAAGAACAATGTTTTTATTCATCTGCATGAAAATAACTGCTATGAACGTCCACCTAAATAATCCCCAATTTCCATCTCTTTGCTGTTCACTAGTCAGCTAACAGAGCTATAGGACTGACACTTATTTTATCCAATTTTTAAATAAGAACATTTTAAAAAAATATATACATACATAATTAAATGAACTCTTTAAAGAAATGGTTAAAGCAATTACAAAAGAGAATTGCAAAAAATACAAGCTAAGAGAAAATAATATAGCTACCTTTTATTTCATACTTATCAATAGTCACTAATTTGCTAATGAATATACTATAATATGTTCAGTAAAATTTTTATTATAGAATATCACAAAATCAAGGTGTGACAATGAAAATGTGCCAGACTCTATTGTAACAGATTGCACTTTTTGGGCTCAATTATTCAGCTAAACATTATTCCACCTGTTCTAGAAGTAGATTGTTAACTGAAAGATCAAATTTGTAGTTTGATGTTATTCACTGATCATTTGCGTCACCAATTGTACAATTGATTTCTGTAGTTTAAATATATACTATCAACATAGCTAATTATGCAAATTACAACTTCTTGGAGTATTTTATGGATACAGGTGTCCGGACTGGAAAGATTACCAACATTTAACTGTGACTTGAGATAGAACAAGTTGAGGTTAGCCTTTCTCCTGCCCTCCAAAATGCAGTTTTGGCGAGCAGCACCTTTTCCCCCATGGCCATAACTGTAGAATGCCACTTCCAGAGAGATCTAATGTAAACTGAACTCTAGTTAAATGTTTTATACAGTTCCTGGTGAAGACCACTTTTTATTCTCCCAGGCTTTATAAGCTTTATCATTAAACTGCGTTTCAGCATTACTGTAGCTGTCAGATTGGGTCCCTCTCAAAACGAGCTATTTTGTCATACTGCTGTAATCTTTAAACATTCCACTCTTGTTTTTAAAGGATGTTCAATTTTATGGCTGTGTTTTCTTAGATTTAAATTGAATTTTATGCAATTATGCTGTTACCTAGATGCTGTTATTCCTTAATATATCATTGCCATATTTCATGTTCTCCTCAATTTATAGGCCATTTTATACAACAGCACTTTTTGATAATTTAGGCAGAAGAGCCAGGTCTCAAAATTACTGTCATCCATCCATTCTCTGTTTTAAGTGGCTGGGGTAGGTTTTTAAAAACTAAAATTATGTCCAGAATCCTTTCAAGGCTTAACACTATTTTCTTTATAAAACAGATCTGAGAAATCCTGCCACTGTTATTTAAGGGTCTGCTGTGGCATTTCTGTGGTGCCAGTTTGGGTGTTGAGGCATTAAATATATCTAGAATGATGTGTTTAAAGCAGAATGTACTTAATAAATGGTTAAATAAGTGGTCTGCTGCATACACTGCTTTCAAATATAGATTTCTAAAAATATATTTATGGCTTATCTGGGACAATACTGTACATTCTGGCTGCCAACAGTTCTCTGGGTTAACAGAGAGAGGTTATTTCTGGCACAGTATTTTTCAAACGGTAGGTAAATGCAGAAATTTTATATGTGGTGACTATCATTTGCCATGTGTACATCC